ATTTCAAGGATTTTTGGGGCATTTTAAATTTGATGAAATCCTTGACAAATCAAATCCCGGGATTTGATTTTTCAAGGATTTCAAGGATTTCATAAAATTTAAATACCGGAGCTCCTGCAAAAGCAAACCCCCCCCTCCCCACTCAGAGTACGGGAAGACCACGCGGATTTTAAAATTTATGAAATCCTTGAAATCCTTGAAAAATTATATCCCGGGATTTGATTTTTCAAGGATTTCATCAAATTTAAAATGCCCAAAAACTCCTTGAAATCCTTAAAAAATCAAATCCCGGGATTTAATCTTTTAAGGATTTCAAGGATTTTTGGGGCATTTTAAATTTCATGAAATCCTTGAAAAATCAAATCCCGGGATTTGATTTTTCAAGGATTTCAAGGATTTCATAAAATTTAAATACCGGGCCTCCTGCAAAAGCAAAACCTCCCCTTCCCACCCAGAGTACGGGAAGACCACGCGGATTTTAAAATTTATGAAATCCTTGAAATCCTTGAAAAATTAAATCCCGGGATTTGATTTTTCAAGGATTTCATCAAATTTAAAATGCCCAAAAAATCCTTGAAATCCTTAAAATATTAAATCCCGAGATTTGATTTTTTAAGGATTTCAAGGATTTTTGGGGCATTCTAAATTTGATGAAATCCTTGAAAAATCAAATCCCGGGATTTAATTTTTCAAGGATTTCAAGGATTTCATAAATTTTAAAATCCGCGTGGTCTTCCCGTACTCTGGGTGGGAAGGGGAGGTTTTGCTTTTGCAGGAGGCCCGGTATTTAAATTTTATGAAATCCTTGAAATCCTTGAAAAATTAAATCCCGGGATTTGATTTTTCAAGGATTTCATAAAATTTAAAATGCTCAAAACATCCTTGAAATCCTTAAAAGATTAAATCCCGGGATTTGATTTTTTCAGGATTTCAAGGAGTTTTTGGGCATTTTAAATTTGATGAAATCCTTGAAAAATCAAATCCCGGGATTTGATTTTTCAAGGATTTCAAGGATTTCATAAAATTGAAATACCGGAGCTCCTGCAAAAGCAAACCCCCCCCCCCTCCCCACTCAGAGTACGGGAAGACCACGCGGATTTTAAAATTTATGAAATCCTTGAAATCCTTGAAAAACTAAATCCCGGGATTTGATTTTTCAAGGATTTCTTAAAATTTAAAATGCCCAAAACATCCTTGAAATCCTTAAAAGATTAAATCCCGGGATTTGATTTTTTAAGGATTTCAAGGATTTTTTGGGCATTTTAAATTTCATGAAATCCTTGAAAAATCAAATCTAGGGATTTCCCGGCGGCAAAAGAGGCGTGCCAAATAGACCCTAAAGGTCCTACGTACATATATATATATATATTTATGTGTGTGGTGTGTGTATGCAGAATACATAATACATACATACATACCTGCATGCATACCTACCTACCTACATACATACATACATACATACACCATGCGTGCATGCAAGCATGCACACATATGTGTGTGTATATATGTATACATACATGAAAAATGGCAAGGCATGTTCCTATACGAAAACGTACATCTACCTATAGTTACTTTCAGCCGTACTTAAAGGTACGTAGAACCCTACTTACATTAAGTCTTCCTGATCATCCAAGTACCGGCCATCTGAGTCTTTGTCACAGCAGCAGGATCGCTCCTAAGAGTCCATCTTGCCCCCCCCCCCCCCCCCCCCCCCCCCCCCCCCCCCCCCCCCCCCCCCCCCCCCACTAAACCCCAAACCCCTACCCGGTACTTTTTTCTTTTTTAAAGCGTGCTTGTCAACCCCAAACCCCAAACCCGGTCTACCCTGTACTTTGCCGGAGCGGTGTCTGGGGGTTCGAGCCCTCCGAGGAGTGAGGAGTCCCAGGCGGGAGACCACTGCAGCCTCTCGTCTCCGTTGTTCTTGGTTCTATTTTTTCCATACAGATATAAGAGTATGCATACCCTAAACCCTACATCCTCAATCCTCTGAATCCTAGCCCGGACTTACGACCAGCGCTCACCATTAGTGGTTTTGGGGTTTCGGGTTTCGGGTTTAGGCCTTAGGGTTTAGGATCGTTTAAGGAGGTTTGGGGTGCAGGGTTGATAAATCCAGCCCTCGCGGCTTGGAGACTCACTTCTGCCCTACAAACCCCTAAATCGTCAAGAATGGCTTCGCAACAAACATGGAGAGAAACCCTCAACCTGAAAAGAAACCCTGATCCTGATCCCTAAACCTGAAACCGAAAACCCATCGAATGTAGTCGAATCCTGGGAAGCCCCAAACCTTAACAAGAGCAACAAAACCCTAAACCCTAAGCCCTAAACCCTAAACCCTAAGCCCTAAGCCCTGAACCCTAAGCCCTAAGCCCTAAGCCCTAAACCCTAAACCCCAAACCCCAAACCCCAAACCCGAAACCCTGCCTCAGGGAAGCCCCTGAGGCTCGAAGATCTTTCAGCAGCTGCGCACGCACTCGGACATCCAGGGCCAGTTCTGCTTTCAGTGGCTCCCGGCCTTGGGACGGCGCCCTGGAACCTGTTTTGGGGGTTCTTGCCTTTGTTGGTTCAAGGTTCCCGGATAGGGTTTAGGGTTCAGGGTTTGGGGTTTGGGGTTTAGGGTTTAGGGTTCTTGGTAGCTCAGTGGTGCGCTTTTCCCCTTCTTTTTGGTTCCAGGTTCCCTGATAAAGTGACAAGGGTTTTGGGTTTAGGGTTTCGGGTGTTGGGGGCGGGCTTCTGTCAAGTGCGGAAGGGGATTTGGGCTCCGGGGTTCCAGGTTTCCGGGTTTGCTGGAATACTGTATGTGAGCCCTGGTCCTGAACCCTCATCCAACTGCGTCACGTAGAAGCCATCTCTGCCAGATGCTTCGGCAACCCTGCCAGGTTCGGAACAGAGTCGTGCCTGACCCTGGACGTGTGCCGCGACTGCACGCAAGGGACTACTTGAGCTCCACACGGTTTCCGAAACAAAGCACGAAGCCCCGGCCCTTGCCTGCGAGGTACACTCCTGCATTGGTCAGAACACCTCGAGGCAGAAATCGGAATCTGCATGGTCTGGGCTTGTGAATCGCGCTGTCAACAGCACTGCCTCTGAAATGCCCCCATTGCCGGCCCTGATTTCGAAACCTAAGCCCTAGGCCCTGCAACACCCCCAAACCCTAAACCCTAAACCCTAAACCCTAAACCCTAAACCCTAAACCCTAAACCCTAAACCCTAAACCCTAAACCCCAAACCCTAAACCCTGATTGAGCAGAATTTGAGCCGACTCTGCACCTTCAACTAGAACCCAGAGTGGGCCCTATTCTCTTATCTTTTTGGGGGGGGGGGGACAGCTTCCCTGGTAAGACCACGGGCCCCCATGCGCCTCAATTGAGGAATATGCCTTTCAATGCAACAGGGAGCTTAACATGATTTAAGGTCTACACAACTAACCTTAAACCCTAAATCGCAGACCCCTAAACCCTTCAATCCTTGGGAATGTTCCCTAAGCTCGGTATTCCCGGGTTACGCTGAGGGCCTAGCAAGAAGCCTGGGCCGCCTGACCTATAACTCTTAGGGTTTAGGGTTTAGGGTTTCGGGTTTAGGGTTTAGGGTTTATCAACCCTAGACCCTTCAACCCGAAACCCTTACACCACCACCACATGCTTGACAGGTGGTGGGGCCTCGCCATTCCGCGTGGCCGTTGACAGTGGCCTCCCAGCGCCTTCGCTACCCACCCCCGGAACCCTAAACCCTGAACCCTAATCTGCCAGGGTTGAGGGTGTTAACAGTCCATAAGTAGCCTAGGGCGCCGTCCCTAAACCCTGAACCCTAACCCTAAACCCTAAACCCTAAACCCTGAACCCTAAACCCTAAACCCTAAACCCTAAACCCTACACCCTAAACCCTAAACCCTAAACCCTAAACCCTAAACCCTAAACCCTAAAACCCTACACCCTACACCCTAAACCCTAAACCCTAAACCCTAACCCTGCAGGGGTGTTGATGGCCAGGGCTCTTTCCATGGGAGTTCAGAGGACCTTCGAGCCCCCCCCCCCCCCCCCCCCCTAATGTACCAGTGCCCCCCCCCCCCCCGCCCCCCAATTTCAGATTCGTATTAGATCCCCAGAACAGCGCCCCTCATTTTAGGACACCGGCACCCTGAAATTTGTGCGACTCTAAAGTATGGCGTACCCTACGGAACACCCCACATCAGACTAAAGCCCTAAAAACCCTAAAACCGGAAAACTCGAAAGCCCCCAAAACCCCTAAAACCCCACAACCCTCAACCCCCCCTCCCAAGCCCTAAACCCTGAACCCTATACCCTAAACCCCTAAAGCCCTAAAGCCCTAAAGCCCTAAACCCTGAACCCTAAACCCTAAACCCTAAACCCCTAAAGCCCTAAAACCCTAAAGCCCTAAAGCCCTAAAGCCCTACAACCCCTACACCTTGCCACCTTGGGCCCTGGGCGAAAGAAAGAGGTAATGGTCTTCATCGAAGGGGGCGGCTTCCTAGCACCTCGACTGGGTTTAGGGTTTAGGGTTTAGGGTTTAGGGTTTAGGGTTTAGGGTTTAGGGTTTAGGGTTTAGGGTCATTATACTTAGGCGACTGGCTCTTAGTAGGGAAGGAGGGAATGAGGCAGGTTCTCCTGCGTTTCCCTATGGTCCCCTTTTTTGGGGGAGGGGTCCAAGACACACAGCGGGGGGGGGGGGGGGGGTTTGGTTCCAAGGCCGATGCGCACGAACCAGGCAAAACTGCCCAGGGTTTAGGGTTTAGGGTTGAGGGTTGAGGGTTTAGGGTTTAGGGTTTAGGGTGTTTGCCTGATTCGTGCGCATTTGCCTGGTTGGTGGGCAACATTTGCCGCCCAGTGGGCCATTAAGGTTTATTTACATTTAGAAAGAGAGGTTTAGGGTTTAGGCCTTGGGGTTTAGGGCTTCGGGAGCATTATTCAGAGAACTGGCCATCTGTGGAGTGTCGAGAATCTGTAGCTCGAAGACTCACCGCGCCTTCCTGGTGCGGTCCTAGCATGGCCCAGGTCGGGGACAAGTACCAGCAAGGGATCTACGATGCTCGCAAGCTGGCCCGCAAGCAGAACATCGTTGTGGTCAGCTTGAACTACAGGCAAGATCTGCACGAAGCTGCACTTTGAGGTTCATGGCCACTTGATGCTGGGGATACAAACGACAAGCCTGTTTGGGGGCCTTATAACTTCTAGCCCAACGCAGTACTGCCCACATGCCTTCAAGGCAAGTTCCCATTTTGTTCTTCCGAAGGCTGGGCGTGTTCGGCTGGTTGCATCACCCTCACCTACGGGACGAGGCACGGGACTTTCTTCCTGACTCAACTTGCCCTTAACCCTAAACCCTAAACCCTAAACCCCAAACCCTAAACCCTAAACCCTAAACCCTAGGGTGTGGGTTTAGGGTTTAGGGTCAAAATGCCCTGAGGATCCCTGCAGAGGTCCTGAACCACCTAGAGCCATGGCCGCCAACGCGGAGTGGTTTGGTGAATAGGGAATGAAGGAGCACGATGCGTCAGTCTGTTCTCTGCCACCCTTCCTTTCCTTCCTTCCCTGCTGACAGCCGGTATCGGGAGGGTTTGGTATAAGACAGCTTCGTTTTCCTTCCTTAGAACCTCATGGTGGGAGCCTTGAACACTAAACCCTAAACCCTAAACCCTAAACTTTAAACCCTAAACCCTAAACCCTAAACCCTAAACCCTAAACCCTAAACCCTAAACCCTAAACCCTAAACCCTAAACCCTAAACCCTAAACCCTAAACCTCATGAGCCTTCAGACCCTGGGGGGCCGGGCTCGAGGCTGGCGATGCTCTGGCGAACTTCGGGCTGCGCGACCAGCTCCAGGAAGCTGGGCTTAGGGTTTAGGGTTTAGGGTTTAGGGTTAGGGCTGAGGGTTTAGGGTTGAGGGTTTAGGGTTTAGGGTGTTGAGGGTTAAGTTTTGAGGGTGTTGAGGTTTACGTTGAAGGTGCGCGGGTATTTGGACGGAATACTGTGGGCAAACTTGTTGCAACTAAGTAGTCTAACAAATCATGGCAGACATGCCATTCCTCCCAAGCACATGTAAACGTAAGGTAACCATCGCCCCAATTTTCGGTCAGGGACTGAATGGCCAGGCCAGTTAACGGGCCTAGGGTTTTTTTTGGCCACCGGCCGCTTGCATGTTTGGTTTAGGGTTAGGATTTGGGTTGTGCAGGGGTTGCTTGACGGTTCATGCGTACGCATAAGCGGGGGGCTAGAAATTGAAGTTGCTCTACTTAAAACCCTACTCACACGTACCAATGAATCTCCTAGTAGGGGTTTAGGGTTTAGGGTTTTGCTGGCTCTCAAGAGGGAATTTGGGGATTCGGTACCCTGTTATGTCAGAAGCTCGTAAACACAAGGTTCCCTAGGGTTTGGGTAGATGGTAAGTTTGGGTTCTTGGTCTGCGGTCCTATTCCCTTGACTGTACTTGGAGGTTCATGGGTAGTTCTCACGGTAGCTATAGTCAGAACTGGTCGCAACCATGTGCCTTCAAGAAGGAAACCCAAACCCTAACCCTAAACCCCAAGCCCTAAACCCTAAACCCTAAACCCTAAACCCTAAGCCCTAAACCCTAAACCCTAAACCCTAAACCCTAAACCCTAAACCCTAAACCCACCTGGCGTCTGATTCTGAAGATCCCTCTTTCGAGGCCCTACGATGGGTGCAAGCGCAGCTTGGCTTTGGATGTGCGGAACCGGTTTACGGTTAAGGTTTAGGGTTTTAGGGTTTAGGGTTTAGGGTTTGGGGTTTAGGGTTTTAGGGTTTAGGGTTTAGGGTTAGGGGCCGATAGGGGGTCGGGGGTTTGTGGCCAGGGCTGTGGTGTGGAGGATCTTCGAGAACTCTGAAACCCTACGCCCCCAGCCCTGATCCTGGCGATGTGCGTCGCAACACATAGGAGCTCTGTCGCATCGCCAGCGCATCGTGCACCGCCACCCGTGTCCGCCACGGATGCGTCCCACTTCCAGTTGGGCACGCAGAGTCAGCTTCGTTCTCCGTGCCGCAGTCCTGCCCTGCATTCTGGTGCAGTAGCGCGTCTCGCGCAGGAAAATACTCAGCTGTTGTCCTCCCTTCCCTTCGTGCGAAACTATTTTGCCTGTTGTAGCTCCTTGTCCATCGGCCTTTTTTGAGAGCCCCTTGCAAGCCCGCCAGAGGCTAGCCTCCTGGCAGGCGTCTTGGCAACCTGTCCTCAGCCTCCTGGCGGGGTGCGGTTTCTGGCGGGGTGTCCTGGCGGGGCGCGGAAGGGTGTTGCGAGCGTCTGGGTGTGGTGCGGGCGCTGGCGGGTGTCCGCCCTGAGCTTTTAACCTTGAGCCCTAAACCCTAAACCCTAAACCCTAAACCCTAAACCCTAAACCCTAAACCCTAAACCCTAAACCCTAAACCCTAAACCCTAAACCCTAAACCCTAAACCCTAAACCCTAAACCCTAAACCCTAAACCCTAAACCCTAATCCCTAATCCCTAATCCCTAAACCCTAAACCCTAAACCCTAAACCCTAATCCCTAATCCCTAAGCCCTAAGCCCTAAGCCCTAAGCCCTAAACCCTATAGGTTTAGGCCCAGTGAGCATGAGGAACATCGCGGCCTTCGGAGGCGACCCAAGCCGAGTCACGCTGGTGGGCGAGTCGGCGGGCGCCATGTCGATCTGTGCCAATGGCCGCATCGTTTAGGGTTCAGGGTTCAGGGTTTAGGGATTAGGGGTTAGGTTTCAGGACTTAGGGTTTAGGGTTTAGGGTTTTTGGGGTTTAGGGAGTGCTGTGCAGGGTGGGTTCTGTCTGAGGGTGCATGAGAAACAGCCGCAACGTGGCAGCACGGGTCATGCGATCCCAACCCAAGCCCCCAAACCATAAACTTACCTTCAACCGCAAACCCTCAACACCCTAAACCCCAAGTTGCATGACAAGGTGCACACATGGCCTCACCAACAAGCCGGGCTTTCTTTCACAACGCCGTGCTCGAGTCGGGGACCGCGGGCAGGGGAGCAAACAATGGACATATCTGAAAAAAATACATGTAGATATGACTATCAACATAAATACACATATAGGTTTCAAAACGAATGTGTGTGTGTATATATATTCATATAAATGGAACTAGATTGCTCAATGTACAAAACATGTATACATGCATATATATATATATATATGGGAAATATATACATACATCTCTGCGTTCCCCGCACCAGGCAGCAAGAGGCCGTGGGGTTTCCTTCGGTGTGTGAGAATATGTGGCAGCACCTGAAAAGCGAAGTTGGGAGGAACTGCGATGGACTCTTCATCTGGCAGCCCCGGAAGTATGCGGAGGTGGGGAGCCACAGTTTAGGGTTTAGGGTTTAGGGTTTAGGGTTTAGGGGCTGAGAGCTTACCAGCATCCGCCTGGTAGACATCTCCGGCGCTGGGACCCTTCATTCATCAGCAAGTGGAGCTGCGCACGCCATGCCACCGCATGATGAAAAAGGAGGTTGGGAGAGAGGTTGCCTTGATGCAAGCTGCATGGAGGACTACGGTCGGCGCTACATCCGGGGGGTGTTCGGACGTCTGCGAGGCTGCTACTTAAGAGCCTCGGTTGACAAGGGACAACGATCGAAGTCGATCTTGCGGAATCATGAGTTTGAGTGCGTTCTATCCCTGGATGTGAAGGTTACGCAAACTCCCGCTTTCTTTATCTCCCGCTCCGAAACTCTGAAGGCCCTGACGGCCCTAAAGGCACTGAATGCCCGAAAATCTCCTAAAGGCCCCTAAAGCCCTGAGCGACATCCCAACATCACCCCCCGATGGTTCCAAGCACAGGTATGGAGACAAAGAACGAGACCTACAAGGCCATGCGGCTAGAGAGATCCGCGTTCATGTTCGGGTCCCCTTAGTCTACTGAAAGCACTTATTCCGCAAGATCCCGGAAAAAATCAGGGAATATTCCGTAAATCACAAAAAGGGTCCCGATTTAAGAAGCATTCCTGCTACTTCTTGCAGAAAAAGGATCCTTCTTGCAATCGATGGAATCTTGAAGCCCCCCTTCGAGCAACCTCAGAGAAATCGGAGCCGCTTCAGTTGCTGCCCCTTACAAAGGGAAGAGGTTTAGGGTTTAGGGTTTAGGGTTTAGGGTTTAGGGTTTGCAAGGGATTACAGCGAGGGTCGCATGTTTTTGGAAGGCGAGCCAGAACGGTTGCTCTGCAGAAGACACAGCGCCCATGAAACTGGTGAGGGACACGCATCTTTGCCGCAGTTGGAAAGGAATCCCTAAACCCTAAACCCTCAACCCTAAACCCTAAACCGATCCCACATGGTCGTGCAGTTCCTGGGAGCCTTGTCACACTGAGCCGAGGTGTAGGGACCTGTTCTTCACAGAGTCGGACATGGTCACCGTCCGAGCCTTTGCAGCTCGGCTCTGTGTGTTCCGTTTTTGTTAGTCGTGATCAGGAGGAAAACCGTTCGTTGGCGCAAACAGGCTTCATTTCACTGGGCCCTTAGGCCCTTAAAACCTCTAAGCCTCTGCACCCTCTGGCCCCCAGCCCCTCAACCCCTAAACCCTAAAGTCTCAGCCCTGTTTAACCCTAAACCCTAAACCCTAAACCCCAAACCCCAAACCCGAAACCCCAAACCCTAAACCCTAAACCCTAAACCCCAAACCCGAAACCCTAAACCCTAAACTCCTCCACAGTGGCACACTGCCGGGCCCCTGAGCTGAGCTCAAAAGGCAGAGATCCTGCCCTTTGAGAACCAGGGAGGCGCCACGCGCACGCGCCCGGCGCGTCCTAAGGAGGTTGTTGGGTTGGTTTCGTAGGGTTTAGGGTTTGGGGTTTGGGGTTTGGGGTTTGGGGTTTAGGGTTTAGGGTTTAGGGCTGTTAGCTTTGAGGGTTTAGGGGTTGATGTTTTCAAAGAAGGGGCTTGGGTGTTGGGGTTGGGGCTTGTTGGGGGGTGAGGAACCCTGACCCTTGACTCCTCCAGTTAAGACTCTGGCCCATCCTAAGACGCCCACGAAAGGCCACGATGGGCCATGAAAGGCCCGACCTCGAACCCTGAACCCCGCAACCATAAGCCTTAAACCCTAAACCCTACACCCCGCCTCAGTCCTAAACCCCCTAAGCCCGAAACCCCCTAAACCCCCTAAACCCCTAAACCCCTAAACCCCCTAAACGCTAAACTAACCCTAAACCCTAAACCCTAAACCCTAAACCCTACACCCCGCCTCAGTCCTAAACCCCCTAAGCCCGAAACCCCCTAAACCCCCTAAACCCCTAAACCCCTAAACCCCCTAAACCCCCTAAACGCTAAACTAACCCTAAACCCTAAACCCTAAACCCTAAACCCTAAACCCTAAACCCTAAACCCTAAACCCTAAACCCTAAACCCTAAACCCTAAACCCTAAACCCTAAACCCTAAACCCTAAACCCGAAACCCTAAACCCTAAACTAACCCTAAACCCTTAAACCCCAAACTTTCACGCCGGTGGTGGAGGCTGCGACGCCGACTACCGCGGCTGTGAAGCAGATCTCCCTTCGGGCCTCGAGCTGGACCAGGCCTGGGTCGTAGTTAAGGGTTTAGGGTTTAGGGGTTTAGGGTTGAGGGTTTAGGGTTTAGGGTTGAGGGTTTCGGGTAGTTCAGGGTTGAGGGTGGGGGTTTAGGGTCTAGGTAGTTCAGGGTTGAGGTTTGGGTTGAGGGTTTAGGGGTGCAGGGTAGTTCAGGGTTGAGGTTTGGTTGAGGGCTTAGGGTGTACTGGTAGGGGCTTTTGGCTCCCTCCACATTGAGCCCCAAGTAGCCGGCCACGATTGATCGAAGTAGATGCGTCAGCAAATGCCGCTCTCATTCATCGTAGGCAAACCCATCGCCCTCACCGCCGGCTATGTATACATATATATATAGATATATAAATACATATATGTGTATATGTATACATGCATATATATATATATATATTATATTCATATATAATATGTATAGCAGCAGTAGCAGGAAAGAGGGGAAGCTTCCAGAGTCATTGCATCGCACTACATCAACTCTCGCATCGCTCTCGAGAAGAAGAACATTTCCTCTAGATGTGGGTTCTTGTTCTAGGTTCAAGCTAGCTGGACAGGAAGTGTCCCCCTAAACCCTAAAGTCCAAAGCCTGGTCTCAGCAGATTTAGGAAAGGTCTTCGGGCCTAGGAGAGTTGTACCACCAGAAAGTTCCCCTGGATATACTCCGAACATGGCCTTATACTGTCTTAAGGATCTTGAAAATGGGTGCCCCCAAAACCCAAGGGTACGACCTGAGGGGTCCAAGGTGCAACCGCTAGAGATGTGCCGGTGGGCTTCAGCAACTGTCCATGCTGCAGGCTTAGGGTTTAGGGCTTTCCTTCCCCCAAAATGGGGTACCCCTTAGCACATTCTTCTGTTCGCAAGGGTTCAAGGTTTAGGGTTTACCCGACTTGTCGAAAACACCGGCTTATCGGCTGCCTCATGGTTTCGGACCAGGGGAGCCCGCACACGGTTAAAGGGGAGTGAGTTGATTCCCTCAAGCCCTGAAGCCCTGAAACCCGAAACCTCAAAACCCTAAACCCCCAACCCTATATTTTAAACCCTAAACCCTAAACCCTAAACCCTAAACCCTAAACCCTAAACCCTAAACCCTAAACCCTAAACCCTAAACCCTAAACCCTAAACCCTAAACCCCTAAACCCTAAACCCCAAAACCCTAAACCCCAAAACCCTAAACCCCAAACCCTAAATCCCTAAACAGCCTCTTTGGTGCCAGGCGCTGCTGAGGTGCGCCGAGCGCTTCCGGGCAGCAAGACGTTTTACGGTTTAGGTATACGATTTAGGAGGGTTTAGGATTAGGGTTTAGGTTTTCTGGTTTAGGATTTAGGGTTTCGGGTTTAGGGTTTAGGATTTAGGCTTAGCGTTCAGGGTTGTAAGGGTGCTATTTCGGTTTAGGGCTGGGGTTTGGGGCTTAGTGCTTTGGGTTGTTCTTGGTGGGTGTCATGGGATGTGCTTCAGCTGAAGGGTTGAGGTTGGGGGTTTGCCATCCGGCAGTTATTGGGATGCTACGGTATCAAGCTTGAGGGCTTCGGCTTTGGGGTTTCAGGATCTAGGGTGTCAGGGCTCGAGGGTTTAGGGCTTTGTTAGTTTAGGAAGGGTTGGACTTGTGATGATGATGAGTTAGCTAGCCTCATCATAGCTGTCTGCCAGAGGAGGCCATGTGCCTAGCAGAGTTGCTGGCATGTGTTCACTCATCTGTCTGCACTTTCAACTGCGGGGCTCCTGCGCGGCTGAGGTTTGCCTATGAAGTATGTTTGGGTCAACCAGTTCGCTTTGATCCACCACTACCAAAGCACCTCGCTTGTAATACGCGTTTGAGAAGGGGCACGAAACCCTAAACCCTAAACCCTAAACCCTAAACCCTAAACCCTAAACCCTAAACCCTAAACCCTAGACCCTAAACCCTAAACCCTAAACCCTAAACCCTAAACCCTAAACCCTAAACCCTGAACCCCGAGCCCCTGTTTTTGCAGTGAGGGGTCGCCCCGCCCTTGTGGCGCAGTGGCACAGGTTGAAGGCTCCTCCCTACTTCAGGCTTAGGGGTTTGGGGTTTAGGGTTTAGGGTTTAGGGTTTTGTGGTTCAGGGTTAGGGTGTGGGGGTTGAGGGTTGAGGGTTTGGGGTTCAGGGTTTAGGGTTTTGGGGGTTTAGGGTTGGGGGTTTGGGGGCTTAGGGTTTAAGGTTTGGGTGTTTAGGGGTTTTAGGGTTTTAGGGTTTAGGGTCTAGGGTTTTGGGGTTTAGGGCTGAGAGATGGGGTTATTTGGTTTCCCAACCCCCAAAATCTGGACCCCACGACCATCACCTGACCTTTGATATGACCCTGACTTTGAAGGTTGGGTAACCAAGAGAAGCCTTCATAATTCTGGCCCGAGGTCCCATGGAAACAGGCTGGGGACAAACGTGTTTGGGTTTAACCCTTCTCAATAAAAGCCAAAACAGGGAAGTTCTCGGTTATGCACGTGATGCTTGTGTTCCAGCGTTCCCTGGTGACCCCCCCCAACGGTGTTAAAACCCCACCGCACAACCGAGTAAGCGCACCAAACACACCAAAACACAACTTCCTGGACAGGTCTGGATGGTGTGGTTGTTGTGGGGGTTGTCTGTCGGGAAGCCCGTTGCGTGTAGCATACCTGGATTGAGAAAAGTCTATTTACAAACCAAAATTCTTGCTTGCATGCGCGCCTCTGCATGTAACCAGCGCTTTCCTGTCCATGGAATCCCAGCTGTTGTGCCCCACCCCCCCCCCCCCCCCCCCCCCCCCCCCCCCCCCCCCCCCCCCCCCCCCCCCCCCCCCCCCCCCCCCCCCCCCCCCCCCCCACACCCCCTCCACCCCCACCCCCCTACCCACTTCGGAGTTTCAGCGTTCAGCATGAAACAGAACTGCGCCCTTTGTCTGACAGGCATGCAGCCCACCCTTTCGGGTTTAATCGCATCACGTCCCTCCTCTCCGGGAGCTGCATTCTTTGAGGGAGCCTCCTCCTCCTGCACCTCCAGAATGTCAGAACAGCCGGTTAAGGCTTTAGGGTGTAGGGTTTAGGGCTTAGGCTTCGGAGCTTCGCCACTGAAGGCTGCCACATAGGCTCCTTAGGTTAGGCAGCCTGTGCGATCTCACGGAACCACACCTAAACCCTTCGGTTTTTGAGAATTCCAAACCAGAGCCCCGAACCTTAAAGCCCCCCAAACACTGAACCCGAAGCCCCAAACCCCAAAGCCCTAACCCTTAAAACCCAAACCCTAGAAACCCTGCGCCCTGAACCCTAAACCCGAAAGGGCCCAGCAGCTACATCTCCCGCTTCATGGGCATGGGCTGGTACGGCGCGCCCCCTCCGCAGCCTGCTAGCAGTGCTGAGTTGAAGGTTTAGGGTTTAGGGTTTAGGGTTTAGGGTTCGGGTTTAGAACTTCTCAGGGTTCAGGGTGTTTAGGCTTTGGGGTTCAGGTTTAGAATTCCGGGAGTTCGGGTTGACCCCAATTTTAGGGTTTTGAGGGTTTGAGGCGTTTCGGTGCCTCTGGTTGCCAAAGTTGTGACCCCCAAACTCCCGGGTTGTGGATTCAGGGTGTAAGGGTTCAACTCTACAGCCTAAACCCTCGCTCCCTCTCTCTCTGTCTGTCTCTCTCTCTCTCTCTCTCTCTCTCTCTCTCCGGTCTCCTTTGCCAAGGCCCCATTTGCCGTGGGCACCCA